ACAGCTTGCCTCAGGCTTTCCTTATGATTTCGTCAGGAAATCGAAGTTTAACTTGTGGAAAAAAGGGGCCTCGTTCCTTATTTCGGGTTCCTTAGGTCAAGGCCCCGACTGTACCATTCCCCCTCAGGTACTCCTTCCAGCTGAGTGAGATCCACGACACTGCCCCGCGGCAGTCGCTCAGCAAGCCCGAGGCGTCGGCGCTGGGTGCCCGCTACACGCCGAAGGAGCTCGGCTACACAGACGACATCCTGGACTCGGATCTGCTCCAGCCGGCGCCGCTCTTTGCGCAGGAGGCGGCCGCGCAGGGCCTGAAGTTCCAGTTTATGTCGAATGGCTTCAACCACGAGGGCGCGCTGGTGATTTCGATGCAGAAAAGGCGGCTTAAGCATTCAAACATTCGAGGGTCCGCGTGGATTTCTTGGATTCGCGCTAGGCCCCACTGGCGGCGCCTACAGCGCCGCCCTTTGCGGGCTCCGCGCGCCAGGGAGAGTGGTCCAGCGCAGATCCAACAAATCTGCGGGGTCTTCAAAAGTTTATGTTTATGTCGTTGTTCTTGCTTCTACGATCGGCCTGCACAACACCAACCTTGAGAGCAGCATCACGGTTGACCTCCCTGCTGGCATGCTTCTGGCTCCGGCAGAGAACCGCGATTTCCAGAACCTGGTGCTCAAGGATGCCGTTCATCTTAGCCTCCTTCCTGGAGAGACAAAGCGCGTGGAGCAGTGGGCATACTGCGGCAACCAGTACCACGTGCCGCCCGTGTCGGAGATGAGGCCCACGGGCTGGACTATGAACGCCCCGCCTTGCCAGGCCTGCGTCTGGAAGGCCACCCTTCCTTATGAGACGGCGATCGCTGCAACGGAGGGCAACTGGATGGCCGCCAAGTTCGCGTCTGCGCTGGCCGTGTAGAGGTGCTCTGGGTTGCAAAACCTCTCCGACGGGACGCGTCTCAGACTTGCCCTTCCCCATCGGAATGTTCAATCTCGGCACGCCAGCGGTTGGCCATCCCACCCTTCTTCCACCTCCTGTGCCTCGGGGGTGGGGCGGCGGTTTGTCGCTGCAGGTGGCCTCCCACCAAATTTGGTCAGAGCTGCACGTTTGCGAGGCGCCTTCCAGCCTCCAAGCGAGCTAGGCTTGCAGGCTCCTTGTGATGAGCGTAGAGGGCGCAGATGGATGTCGACTTCGGACCTCGTGACTCGTGTTTGGGCCGTGGCTTCTCGTAGTTAGTTTTTGCGCGGGGGAGTAAGGTTGCAAAGGTGAAATCGGTTGTCCAATTTTGTCCAACAGTCGCAGTTTAGGGTGTCAATCTAGGAGCTCATGTCGTCGGCGGCTGTGTATGCCGCGGGATATGTGTGTACGAGTGGTTGTCTGTATGAGCGTAGTATAGTTGACATGTGAATGTAGTTCTTTGTATCTGTGTGTGCGCGCTTGCGTGCGTGCGATGGTTCCTCGTGGATCGTGTCGTTGCTGGATCGGCTTAACATGCTTACTTAGATGGTGAATCGCCTGGCGTGCTAGGCGTCAATTTCGGGTCTCGTGTCGTGTGTGAATGTGCGCTTGCGTACATGCGTACGTGTGTGTGCTTGTGCGAGGTTTCTCAGTCCGCTCGTCTCCTCCGGCCCGCCTATGACCATGATTGTTACCGCCGTTGTGGTGCGCACGTTGCTGCCATCGAAACAGGTTTTGTGTAGGGGTGTGCCATGCGTTCTCGTGGACTCGGTGGGGCGGGGCACAAAGGTGGACTCGGTGGACGAAGCCCAGGTGCAGGCGTCGTTGTCGGCTCTCGTGACCCCTGTGATGGCGTGACCTTTCGTAGGTGGTTTGTAGGCTAGGGCATCGGGCGTCCATTTCTGATCCTGTGTTTCGTACTGGCGTGTTTCGCGGTGCCCGTCAGGTAGTGTAGTTCGGTATGCGTGTGTGCGTGTGTGCTTACATCACAAGGTGGTCGTGTTCCACTTGCTATGAGGTGACCTGTGGTTTCCTTCCACTGTCTTTGAGGACAACGTGTGTGTGTGTATGTGTGTGCGTGCGTGTGTTGTGCCCCTTACCCTGGGATTGCACGGATTGCTCCTGAGCGCCACCGATTAAAGGTCGTGTACATTTTGAATTGATTAGTGCATCCCGTTAGTTGTTGACCAGTTTGGGAATTGTCGTTGCAGAGAGGAAGAGAGATATGCGAGGGAGAGGCAGAGAGGGAGAGGGAGAGAGAGAGAGAGATGGTTCGTTTGCGTGCGTGCGTGCGTGCGTGCGTGCGTGCGTGCGTGCGCGCGCGGGTGTGTGTGTGTGTGTGTGTGTGTGTGTGTGTGTGTGTGTGTGTGTGTGTGTGTGTGTGTGTGTGTGTGTGTGTGGGGGGCTCGTGTTTCGTCAGTTGTTTTGTATGCGAGTGTACGTGAGTCGTGCACATGTGTTGTGTGTGCGCAGGGCGTGTCATTAATTTGGGAAGGTCCCCTCTTTCTCTTCAAGTATTGTTGGAACCGAGGTGCCCGATCCACATGATTGCTGGCAGAATTTTGAGGCGCTCGGGCTTTCCACAGGGCGGCGTGAGGATTGCGCTGTCCTCTCCTCGGCGCGCGCACACGATTAACACATTTTTCAGGCGGCCCTCCGAATCGGCTGTTGTACAAACGTATGCCGCTGCTGGCAGGTGCAGAGGTGCCCGCGCGAGAGAGGCCAGGCACTGCAGCGGCCTCTCTCAATGCGCCACCGCGACGGCCCTTCCGGGAGGGAGCGCGCAGCCGTAAAAACTGGATCCTCGGGATACCGTTGGCACATTACGTCGTAAGTCGGCGCGCCGGCAGGCGCCCCACGGAAGCTTCCGGCCCCCGGGGGCCCCCGGGGGCCCGCGGAGCTCTGGGGCACCTCGGGGCCCCCGGCGCCCTCGACGGAGAGACCGTGCCCCGAGATTTCTCCGACGGCAGGGCGCCGCACCGCAGACGAGTGCTGGCTGTGGCCGTGCCCCGGCGCAGGGCAGCCGTGCAGTGGCAGGACTCTGCCAGGGTGCTCCATCCGCCGTCGCTCGTGCTCGTCCTTCCCGTCGACCCGGTGGTTCTACACTGGGGGCCCATGCCAAGAAGCGTCCTGCTAGCCTCCAGGGTGCCCTGGGGGTTCTGGGGTTTGGGTGGTTTTGCTGTGGAGCGCGCGGCGTTCCCACACCAAACAAAGCCATGGACGTCCTGTGGTCTCAGGTTTGGGTTTCTTGTGGAAGGTTTCTTGTGGTCGGGCCACTACTGTATTCGCCGTCGACCACTCTGTTCCATTCGCCGTCTCTCCCGTGCTCGCCGTCGGCCAGTTTGTTCCATGCGCCGTCAACCGTTCCTTTAGGCCAGCTGGCCGGCATGCCGCGCCGTCGCAGCTGCCGGGGCGTGCAGCTCGGGGTCTCGCGACACCCCCCACCTTTCCAAACCCAGGGGGAGGGGGTTTGGGGAAGGGTCAAGCTGCCCACCCGCCCGCAAGCTGTCTAGTTCACTCCCACCCGCCCTGCCAACACATAACACCCCAGCCTGAGCATGTTCAGCGGTGGTTTTTAGGGTGGACAGCTACTGGGAACCAAAGCCGACCCCAGGTGCGCGACGATGGGGCGAGGTGCGCCACGCGTGCCATGGGCGACACGCGCGCCAGGCACCCCTGGGGCCCGAGCGTGCCAGGCACGCCTGGTGCACCAGATGCGCCACGTGCTCCGAGTGCGCCAGGTGTACCGCACACTCCAGCCGCGCCAGGTGCACCTCGTTCGGGGCACGTGCAGAGTGTGTCAGGTGCGTCTGTGCACGTGACAGCACACATCGGGAAACATGTCGGCCCCCATCATCCTTGTCGAAAACCAATGCCCATCATTGTGTCTGGTGGGCCTGCGCACAGCAGGCCACGCGCCACCACCCCCGCCGTCCTTGTCAAATACCACTTGGCAGTGATCGCGGGGTGGCTGCGCATGATCAAGATTTAGCCGCGAGGTGCATGTTGTATTTTTTTTGCCAGGGATGGTAGCCCTGCGCGCAGCAGGGAATATGCTGACACCCCCGCCGTCCCTGTCAAAAACCATACAAAGTGGTCGCGGGCCTCACGAACATGACTCAAGGCTTTGCCCGAAAGTGTGTCTTGTATGGCTTGTTTGACAGGGATGGTGGGGGGGGCGCATCGGGTTGGCCGCGCATGCTGCACATGTGGAGGCAGAGTGCGTTTTGTATTGTTTTTCCCCAATTTGTGCTTGCAGTGAAGGGGTCCTAGCGGAGGTTGAAGGACTTGGCGAAAGTTTCCCTCCGATTTTGGTCGCACGCTGGGTTCCCGGGCTCCCCGTTCCGTGTTCCCGTGTTCCCCGGTTCCCGGTTCCCGGGCCGATTTCGGTGGGCGGCGAGGTTCCCAGGTTCCCGGGTTCCTGGTCGATTTTCTTATCGATCGCTCTCAGCATCGATCTCATTTCCCACTTCCTCTCTATCGATCTCACCATCGATCTCTCAATCGATCTCACAATCGATCTCGCAAGCGATCTCACTAGAGATCGCACGAACGATCTCGCGATTGATCTCCCTATCGATCTCATTGAATCGGTTTCACTCTCGATCTCACGATTGACCTTATAATCGTCCTCTATCGATTCCACTATCGATCTCATTATCGATCTCACAATGGATCTCAAGATCCATATGACTAATTTTCAAATCATCCACTGATTGGGTTTTCTCAGGTGTAATGTGACAGGGATGGTGCGGTGGTGGCCCTCCTGGGGCTGGCATGGTTCGGAGTTGGCCGCCAGCTGGGTGGAATAGGGGATGTATATGAATAGGGAACACAGTGATAAACCTTTCCTCAAGGGGGAACAAGGGGAGTTGGAAGAGGAAACGCTCTAAAGCATTGACGCCCAGAGGGCTGATTGGATTTTGTTCCGCTATCCTCGCACTTCCCCTCTCCGCCCCCTCTTCATGATCCTCTTCATTATAATCATCCTAATCCTACTCATTGTCATGTGCCTGCTTTTCCTTATCATTGAGTCCCGCATCCTTTCTGGATCAAGCTGCTTGACCCAGCTCTCTCTGCTGGCCAGAGATCACCCCCTTTTATCAGGTAAGGCAATTACAGCGTTCTGGGCTCTCGCGCCTCAAAAGCTCCCCGGTCTGTGTCTGTGAGTCACAATGAAGTTCTCAATGGTGTTAGTCGTTGCGCTGTCCGCGAACCTGATGGTGCTGTCGACCGCGTCCGGCTTCCTGGCCGCCCCAGTGGCCGCTCCAGTCAGCGAGAAGGATCGGGTGCTGCCAGAAGAGTCTTTGGCCCAAGGTGCCCCCCAGGCTTCCCGAGGAGGCCCCGCGGCCTTCCGAGCGCCCCTCGCAGGGCCCAGAGGGCCCCCGGGGGTTCAAAACGGAGCGAGAAGCCGGAGCAAAATTCCTGCAAGGGAAACCGCTCCAGACACTTGACGATGTTTTGTTCAGCTCGGCTCCAGAGGCTTCGTCAACCGCCATCGGGGGTAGTTTTATCGTCCCCAGCTGATGTTGGATGGCCCCAGGGCTCCAATACCGGGCCCCTCGGGTCGAGATCGAGGATCAACTCCGGGACTGCCAACGACACGTCGTCGGGGCACCTTGGAAGGGAGAGGTACAAAAGAAGAGTGCCAATGATACCTTCGTCGTGCTTCAAACCGCGCCCGTTAGAAGTATGCTTTCGCTCATTGTGCAAAAAGGGCATTGTCGCTCTTCGGCAGAAGCACGCTGCAGCTGTCGTTCGACCGGCGTGACATTTGCACTGTCTGTGTCGGAGCTCAAGAGACGGAGGTCAAAGCAAACGGGGGTCAGCCAGTGCGCCAGATCTTGCAGGATCCTGCAGAGCCAGGGGCGCACTGACCCGGGCTTGGGCGCAAGATCCTGCAGGATCTTGCAGGATTCTGCAAGGCCTGACTGACCCGGGTCTGGATTGACCCGAGTCAGAAGATCCCCGATTGTGATGAGCGTTTTTGGCAGCCCTCAGCAGGACGCCGCAAGCTCCCTCGCCCTCGAGCTGTCGGGCGACACGGACGGCCGCCTCGCCGCGCTGGAGGATGCGCTGCGCCCCACCTTCGCGGCCCTCCCGAAGGACGCCGCCGGGGAGCTCGGTCACCAGGCGGTGCGCTACGCGCTGCACCGGCTGTTCGTGCAGCAGCGCGGATGGTACATCAAAGGCCGCCGCAAAGTGAGCGGGACCCTCAGGGGGAGTGGAGCGGGTCCTTTTTAGGTGATGCGTGGGTCATGTTGTGCATGAGTCGTTGTCTGCCTTGACGATTCGCATCTGTCGTTGCTTGATAGCGGTGCTAAATGGGCACGTAGTAAGCGCGAATCGACACTGATGATGTGCGCCCATAGGCGCTGATAGAGACATTGCTAGACACTAATAGGCACTAATCGGGCGTAGCCTGTTAAACATTTCAAGGGAGGGAAATCACCCGGACTGGACAATTGGCGTTTACTAAACGGCCTTGGGCGTTTACTAAACAGCCCTGCCCTGTTCGATTCCTTCTTTGGGCGCGTTGACTAAACAACTTCGCGTGTCGGGCTGGTCATTATGCGGGTGGATTTGCTGACTTCTAAATTCACGCATAGATGATACACAGAAGGTCCTGCCGAGGTCCCTCGCCGTGCGCGGGGCTCCTCGGGGCCCTTGTCTGGGCTCCATACTGGGTCGTCAGCAGAGCGCTCCTTGCGACGGAGAGCTGGCCTCGGTGGATGGCCCCAGGGTCCAGCGACCCGCTGCCTGGAGGGTTTCTCCGAAGGGCTTAGGCGACCCGTCCTCCTCCTCGTCCTCCTCCTACTCCTCTTCCTCCTTCTCCCTCCTCCTGCTCCTCCTCCTCCTCCTCCTCCATTTCCTCCTCCCCTCCTCCTCCTCCACCTCCCCTCACCTCCTCCTCCTCATCCTCCTCATCCTCCTCCTCCTCCTCCTCCTCCTTCCTCCTCCTCTCCTCCTCCTCCTCCTCCTCCTCTTCCTTCCTCATCCTCCTCCTCCTCATCCTCCTCTCCTCCTCCTCATCCTCCTCCTCCCCCTCCCCTTCCCCCTCCTCCATCTCCTCCTCCTCCTCCTCCTCCTCCTTCTCCTCCTCGGGTCGCCTACGGCCCTGGGAGAAACCGTGCACAGCTGCCCCGCTTCCTTCGTGACCCGCTTGGGTCATGCCGAAAATGGGCCGACGAGATGTATACGCTATCCATCTCCACGGCCCTGGGCCAGGTCCATCCTGGACCTGGAGCCCGGCGCGTTGTATGTATAGAATATGCCTCGCCGGCTACCTGGAATCTGCCTGCATCCTTCCTGGGGAAGGACTTCCTTCTCTCCTGCATGACTCGGGAAGCCCCTGGAACGGTTCGGCCAGGAGGGCATACATATATATATATATATATATATATATGTATACATATATATATATATATGTATACATGTGTGTGTATGTATGTATGTATGTATGTATGTATGTATGTATGTATGTATGTATGTATGTATGTATGTATGTATGTATGTGTATATATATATATATATATACATACCGCTTCTGGGCCCAGGGCGGGCCTGGCCAGGGGCAGTGGAGATGTACAGATCTCGCCGCCCTACACCTGCAGGGACGATGAGGGCGGACAGCATTGCACGCATTCGCACGGGAGCCTCGCCGAAGGCATGGATCATCGGCGCGCCTGGATATATGTATTTTCAGGAGGAAACAACACACAGACACAATTAATCCTCGATCCCCCCGAAACTATTGGAAAATATGGGAGGTGGGGGGGAAGACAGAAACCCTGAAAAGATTGGAAACTATGGGGCGTATATTTATTTGTGTGTATTTATTTGTGTGTGTCCTGGGGCCCCTTCAGTATTGCTCCCCCCTCGGCTGTTCGCCCCTTCTCGTCGCCTCTGGCTACAGACAGGCCTCGAGCCCGGCTCCGACTCGGCGAACGCGTCGGAGTGGGTGCCTTCGTTCCTGCAGCGCCGCCTGGAGCAGCGCAGCCTGGGCCGCGGCGGCGCCAGCCTGCACGAGCTGGCTGCCCTGGCCGCGGCGCTCGAGGACCTGGTCGCGAAGGAGTCGGGGGCGGCAAAGAGGGGGGTGGTGATAAGGGGGGTGGTGGAGATCATGGCGGGGGCCATGATATTTCCCCAGATTTCGTGGCGCCTCTTCTTACAGTCGGGGCACTGAGGAAGGAACCCTCTTCGTTGGGGAGGGGCTCGGTGTTCCTTGATTGTTTCAAAGTTTGCCTCGGGTTTTCCTGAGGTTTTCCATGGGAGATCGAGGTTGAACTTACGGGAAAGAGGGGCCTCGTTCTTTATTTAGGGTTCCTTAGGTCAACGCCTCGACTGTATTTCATTACGTCCCTGGCCCCCCCGCTGGGCCGCGCACATGCCACTGGTCATGATTTGCACACCCCCTCTTGGACACCCCCCTCTTGGCCGCTCCCAAAGGAGACTTCCGACCGCGTCGCCAGGGTGTACGGCGTGCTGGACCGCGCGGTCTCGGCGAGCCTCAACAAGGAGGAGGTGCTCGAGACCATCTCGATGTATGCAGGAGGCCTGGCCGTGCCGCCGATCCCCCAGAGCAGGAGGTGTGCGGCTTCCGACTTCGTGTGCGTCCTTGTCGCAGTTTCTTGCTGTGCTGCCTGCGTGTCGTTGCTGCTGATTCGGCCTCCTCTTCCTCCGCGTCTGCTGCGGGGCTTATTGGGGCGCTCTGCGAGGCCCGCGGGGGCGGCCTCCTAGAGCCTTTTCAGGGCTTCTGGACCCCCCCCTGTGAGGACTTCTTGGGTGCCTGTTGGAAGCATGTTAGAGGTCCTGGGGGACATCTTGCGGTGGAGGGCTCCCATGGTGCATGGTTGAGTTTTTTGGGGGGGGGGGGGCGTCTCGGGAGCCCCTTCGGCTATTGGGGCCGTCTCTGGGCCCTCTTGGGCAGTCTTGGGCCAGTCTGGGGGAAGCCTCAGGCCATTTTGTGTTGTCAGATGCCCGAGAAGGCAAGAACGTGAACATCCACCAAAAACACGCGGACGACTAACGGTTTGCGCACATTGAGGCCCTTTGGGGGTCCTTTTGGGGCCCAATTGAGGCCCTCTTGAGGCCCTCTTGAGGCCCTCGTGAGCCGTCTTGGGCCGCCTTGACGTCATCTTGGATGTTTTTGAGGCCTCTCTGGCGTGTTGGCTCCCCTCTGGAGCCACATCGGAAGGCTTTTGTGGCATCTTGGCGGCCACGGAGGGTGGACTTGGAGCCCGAGGGGTGCGTTGAGGAGCTCTACACTCTCCCATGGGACGTTTGGGGAAATGAGGAGGTCACCACCCACTAAACCACCCCAACCCGACCCGAAGGCCCCGATTTGCCCTCCATTTCCAATGGGGGGGGGGGGTTGGGGAAGATGGGAACAAAAATATATGAAGCCCGTACCCCCCCAACCCGAAATTCGGGCGAAATTCGGGTCTTCGGGTTGGGTTGGGGTGGTCAAGTCGGTAGTCAGGAGGGGAACAGCCAGATGTTTTACCTTCTTTGTCGCAGCGACAGGAGTCCTAGCCGCGTTCAAATTTAGACGTGGGATGCACGAGGCCGAGCTAAGCACAGCGGGCGGCGGGAGGAGGAGGAGGAGGAGGAGGAGGAGGAGGAGGAGAAGGAGGAGGAGAAGGAGGAGGAGGAGGAGGAGGAGGAGGGGCGCGCGGGCGAGGGAGGATCGGGCGGGTGGTAATGGGGGTGACCCGAATGGGGGAAAGAATGGGCTCTCAACGGGCACTTTAGGGCCACTTTTGGCCCCTGCTGGCTGCAAAAGGTGCCCTCAAGGGTCCCTTCAGGGCCTTTTCTTCCACCCCCCCACTCAAATCACCCCCCATTACCACCCGCCCGAACGGTAGGTTCGCGTTGTGTCGACCGGCGGCGACCCCGCCGCCAGCGTTCAACGTTGAACGCCGCCGGCGACCTGGAGTCGGTCAATGTCGATCGGAGGTTGATAGACCTCCTACCCCGACACGTCGATCAGCGAATTTTCAGTTTTCGGGTCGCGGGAGGGCGTCGCGGCCGTCACTTTTGCGGGTCCAGTTCCGTCGGTTTGGGTCCTAGGCCGTTTTTCGGGTATGGCCAGGACCCCAGGTAAAAGGGGACCCGGTTAGTGGTAGGGCCCCGGAGCTTCTGAATTGGCCAGAATCACTAAACCAGGTTTGCCGTAGCTGGTGTTTCTTCGGGCGACGGCAGTTCCGGTTAGTGGAAATGGGACGGGGGGCGCCCCTGGTACAGATCACTGAACCAGGTTCCACTGAACCCAATTCTGCCAAGGCCCGAGTTTTTCCTAAAGGGTGGCTTCCTAAAGTGCGGTCTGTCCGCCGCCGAGGCGCACGAGCGGAGGTCTCGGGAGCGGCCGATCGTTGAAACGTGAACGCTCTCCGCGGCGCCGGGAGCCAGCGCCCGCCCGCCCGGGAGGAGCCCGCGCAGAACATGGCCAGGCTAAAGTCGGGCCTGTCCCTCTGCAGGAGGCATGTTCAAAAATGGTCAAAGAAGAATCAAGGACGATTTGTTGTGTTGTTTGTTTGATTTTTGTTCCTCCGGGACTTCGCCCCCGGCTCCTGTCCATGGCGTACCTTGTCCTGTGCAAAATCTTCGGCACCGCGTGTATTCTGCACCCTCCAGCCGCCTGAGGCCCCGCCCGCCCGCGCCCTGTCTCCCCAATTAGGGCTTCGCGCGCCCCTCCTAGCTCTTAACCGGAAGGGGCCCGCTCCCGACCCGCCGACCCAAAAAGTTTCATTTTTTGTTTCCAGTGATCCTGTGGCGTTGGGTCTTCGCTTTGAAGGGACGGCGCCCCGCGTTCGCACTTCCTCTAGTCCTCCTCCCCTCCTCCTTCCTCCCCCTCCTCCCCCTCTTCTCTGCGCTTCGCCCCCCCAGTACTCTGCTTCGTGGCCCCATAGGGAGCTCCACCGAAGGCCCCAGTGGCAGCGTTCGCATGGCGGCCCCGCATTTTGGCGCACCCCTCAAACGGCTCGTGGCCCCATAGGGAGCTCCACCGAAGGCCCCAGTGGCAAGGTCCGCATGGCGGCGCCGCCCCATTTTGGCGCACCTTCACACGGTTCGTGGCCCCACAGGGAGCTCCACCGAAGGCCCCAGTGGCAGGATCCGCATGGCGGCGCCGCCCCATTTTGGCGCACCCCTCACACGGTTCGTGGCCCCACAGTGAGTTCCACCGAAGGCCCCAGTGGCAGGGTTCGCATGGCGGCCCAGCCCCATTGTGGCGCATCTTTCGCACGGCTCGTGGCCCGTAGGGAGTTCTAGCGAAGGCCCCAGTGGCAGGCTTCGCATGACGGCCTTGCATTTTGGCGCACCCCTCACACGGTTCGTGTCCCCATTGGGAATTCCCCTTGCGTCGTCCCACGTGCCATGCGGTTCTCACACTTACGTATGGTTCGGCCTTTCGCCAGGACAATTTGATGTTTTTCCCAACCATCCTGTGGTGCTGGGTCCTCGTTTTGAAGAGACAGCGCCCCGTTGTCCCACTCCTCCCCCTCTTCCCCCTCCTCCTCCCCCTCCTCCCTCTTCCCATCCGCCTCTGCATCGTCATCGGCAGCGTCACCATCGTCATCGCCATCGCCACCGTCATGATTCACATCATCATGAGCATCGCCATCGCCATCGTCAGCGCCGCGCCCTCACACGGTTCGTGGCCCCACAGGGAACTCCACCGAAGGCCCCAGTGGCAGGGTCCGCGTGCGGGGACCGCCACCCGTTTTGGCACACCCCTCAGACGGTTCGTGGCCTTGTAGGGAGCTCCACCGAAGGCCCAGTGGCAGGGTCCGCATGGCGGCGCCGCCCCATTTTGGCGTACCCCTCACACGGTTCGTTACCCCATAGAGAGCTCCACCGAAGGCCCCAGTGGCAGGGTCCGCATGGCGGCGCCGCCCCATTTTGACGCACCCCTCACACGGTTCGTGGCCCCATCAGGAGCTCCACCGAAGGCCCCAGTGGCAGGTTTTGCATGGCCGCGCCGCCCCATTTTGGCGTACCCCTCACACGGTTCGCTACCCCATTGAGAGCTCCACCGAAGACCCCAGTGGCAGGGTCCGCATGGCGGCGCCGCCCCACTGTGGCGCACCCCTCACACAGTTCGTGGCCCCACAGGGAGCTCCACCGAGGGCCCCAGTGGCAGGATCCGCATGGCGGCGCCGCCGCATCTTGGGGGCACCTCTCGCACGGTTCGTGGCCCCATGAGGAGCTCCACCGGAGGCCCCAGTGGCAGGGTCCGCGTGGCGGCGCCGCCCCATTTTGGCGCACCACTCGCACGGTTCGCGGCCCCATAGGGGGTCCAGCGAAGGCCCCAGTGGCAGGGTTCACTTGGCGGCGCCGTCCCATGTTGGCGCACCCCTCACACGGCTCGTGGCCTCATTGGGAGCTCCACCGAAGACCCCAGTGGCAGGGTCCACATGGCCGCGCCGCCCCATTTGGGCGCACCCCTCACACGGTTCGTGGCCTCATGGGGGAGCTCCACCGAGCGCGCAATGTATACATGGAGAGCAGACTAAGCTGGGAAGGGAGACAAAACGGCCGCGCAGGGGGCTCAGGCCAAGTCACGAAAGCAAACGTGCAACACGCAACGGAAGCACAGAGAGAGGAGAACACGACGGGAAGAAGATAGTGACAAAACGGCCGCGCACGGGGCTTGGGCCACCGTGGGCCCCCCTCCTCCGTCTCATGTCCTTCGCAGTCCTCGCGGCTGCATATGGTTGGGTCCTTCGCCCCGCCGATTTAGGGGTTGTTTTGGGGGGTTATGTTCCATTTTCCCTCCAGAATCGGCCTGTAGCGGGTCACGCCCGACCGAAGGCCAGATGCCTCACACGCCTCCACCCCCGGCGAGCGGAGGTCGGCAGACTACGCCGGGTTCCTCGACGGCGGCGACCTCGCCGCCGGCAGCCCCCAGGAGGCGCGGCGCGAGCTGGAGAGCTTCACCAGGAGCTACGTCGGCTGGGCGGAGGCCGAGGCTCGGAGGAGGAAAAGGTACCCACACCGCTACCCTGAAGGCGGGCCTGTCCCTCCACAGGAGGAATATATATATATATATATAGATATAGGTGTGTACATATATATATACATATATATATATATATTAGTCCAAAGTAGTCAACGAAATAGTCGGGGGACGATGCTTCGACTATGTGTTTTTTGACTATTTTTGAGCATTGTTTGGCTATTTCCGATTTTTCTTCCAAAGTCCGCCTGTAGGGGGACATGCCCGACCTAATGCTCGGAGGAGGAAAAAGGTACCCATACCGCTACCCTTCGCCCGTGCCCCCCTTTTTCGCGCTTCTGGGAGGCCCTCGTCGCCATCGTTGGATTCGACTCGAGATGCTGGTCAGAACGCATCCCGTGAGAGGTCCTGGGAGTAGCAGTATCCGTACCTCTTGATGTATCCCCAGAGGCGTGGCTCACGGACACCCTGGCGCCCCACTTTGCCTCGGGTGGCGGTGGCGCCTACCCGTTCGACCGGGTCTCGAGCAGAGACCAGCACCAGCATGTTCCTGTTTAGAGCTCCGTGCGGGTTTCTTTCGGATCGGCGCTGCACCCACCTCTCCGGCTAACGCAGCGCCGGCTAATGCGGGTTCAGCGCCGACCCTAGAAATCCGAGCAGAGCTCCGGCGGTCTGTGTTTCTGTAGTTCTGGTCTTCGAAGGTCGTCCAGATGGCGAAGGAGATCGGCGAGCGCTACCACACGCTCAACGACCTGGAGTGCCGCAGCCTCAAGGCAGTGCCCATGCAGATCCGATCGATCTGATTCGAAATCAGGGCTGGACCTGAACGCTGTTTTGCTGGACTTCGGCTGTGTTTTGTCTTTCGTTGTGGGAGGGAGGTGCAGGAAAACAGGTAGAGCAACACGGACAACGAAACGAAAACAACGTTTAGGTCTGGCCCTGTTCGGAATCGATTTTGGCAGGCCCGATCTGATTCGATTCCGACGTTCCGATGATCCGACGCGGGGCGGTGGCTGCACTGCACTGTTGTGCAACCTCTGGCGCAGCCGATCCGACTCGGGTTCGACCCCATGTCGATGCGGCCCGATCCGACACATACTTCGATTCGATTCGCTTTCCCGATTCGATGCCGACTGATCTTGAGTCGGGCGTGTCCCTCTACAGGAGGAAAATTCAAAGTTAGTCAAAGAATTGTCTAGGGGCGATCCGTTTCGTGAGTTGTTTCGCTACGTTTGAACTTTGTTTGAGTACTTCTTATTTTTCGTCCACAATCTGCCTGCAGGGGGACATGCCCGACCTAAGACTGATCCTGCAAGGTCACCATGGGCGAGCTCGAGGGCCGCGCTGGGCGCGTGCGGCTGCCCGCATTCTACAGGAAGGGCCTCTACAGCCACTGGCAGTTCGACGAGCGCCCCGAGTACCTGCGCTTCGTTGGGGCCCTCGACGAGTCCGAGCCGGGCCCTCGGAGGAGAACCAGCTGCACGCCTGTCATTTTGCTTCGAGCGATCCCCACCCCAGGCCCCCTCGCGTCGTGGACGCTTTTGCTCTCTGTGCGGCTTCCGGGGCCCTCACTGGACCCCGGGGCTGTCAAAAACGACGGGCTAAAAACCGGCCCTGGGGCAATGGTCGGGACCTCTAGGGACCGCGTATTGAGAACAACAAGACGTCGCACGGCAATGGTCACTCGTCGAAGACGTGAGGTGGGGCAATTACCCATGGAGCGCCAGCACATCTTGGGCCTGGCGGCTGCGGGTGTGCAGGGTGTGCGAGGGGGTCGGTTGCTTTATTCTTCAAGTCTGAGAAGCCCAGCTTATCGGGTTGGGAACATAAAGCAACATTGCACACACCTAAACTCTTGGAGCGCCGAGCGGATTTCTGAGATCGGCGTCGGGGCATCCCTGGCGGCGCCGCTGGTCCCGCCCCTGGTGCGCTCCGCGCGCCAGGGAGGGGGGCCCAGCGCGGATCCGAGAAATGTCTCGGGCCGTCGACAGTTGTTGTTTTTATGTTTTTTTTTTTTTTTTTTCTCTTCGCGCACTCGCCGATGCAAGCTGTCCGCGCGGGGGCCTCTGAACACGTGTGCCGTGCGGTTGTTTCTCAGGAGGGGAAAAAACACACAGACACGATCAATCGTCGATTCCCAGGAAAATACAGGAAAATATGGGAAATGGGGGGGAAGACAAAAACCCAGAAAATATAGGAAAACATGGGCAATATTTTTATTTGTGTGTATTTATTTAATCGCTTCGCTCATTCCGCCGGCCCATATTGTCGCACCGTTGTGGGCTAGCCGAGTTTTGGGGGCCGTTTGGGGGCCTCTTGGGGCCTCTCTTGGGCCTCTTGGGCGCCTCTTGGGGCGTCTTGGGGGCCTCTTGGGGGTCTCTTGGGGCCTCTTTGGGACCTCCTGGGCGGCTTCTGGGGCGGAGGGCTCGATTTTTCAGTTCTCTGTATCCCTCTTGAGCCCCTCTTGGGCCCGTCTTGGGGCCTCTTGGTCCGTCTTGGGCGGCACTTGGGCCGTCTTGGGGGCCCTCTTGGGCCGTTTCGGGGCCGTCTTGGGAGCTTCGTGGGCCGTCTTGGAGCGATCTTGGGCGCCTCTTGGGTCGTCTTGGAGCGTCCGGAAGCCGAAAAAGCCAGAACGCAAAAAACATCGGAAAAACCAATGAAAATCAACGATTTTGGCCTCTTGGGGCCCTCTTCGGAGGCCTCTTGGAAGGCTCTTGGGGCGTCTTGAAGGCCTCTTCGGCTGTCTTGGGGGTCTCTTGGGCCGTCTTGGGGTCATCTTCGGCGCCTTGGAGCGCTCTTTGAACGTCTCGGGGGCCTCTTGAGCAATCTTGGGGGCCTCTTGGGGCACTCTTGGCGCGCTCAGGGCGGCCTGAGAGGCCGCACCCAGAAGGAAAACCATCTCTGAGTTGAACCGGGCGGGACCTTGCCAGGCGGCGGGCGGGGTACTTTTCGCCGGGGGACCCCCAGGGGCCGCCCCGCGCGCGCGAACTAGTACAATATACAATTGTTAACCAGTTACCGGAGATCTTAGCACGCCTCTGGCCCGTTGGGCCGGCGAATTTGTGTGTCCTGGGGGCCCTTTAGTTTCTCTAGTCAGGCTCGCCCTCGGTGATCCTGCCGAACTACCTGTCGGCGCGCACCAACTGCCTGGAGGCCTCCGGCCTCTACGCGCTCTGCTGCCGCAACGAGTGCGAGGACCTGCTGGGCCACCTGGAGAGGCAGGTCGGTGCGCCCTCGGCTCCGGAGCTGGAGGTGGCGCGGCTCGTGGCGGCGCTGCCCTCCGACACCGTCGAGGCCCAGAGGCTCAGGATCAGAGGATGGCCAGTTCCGCGACGGAGGAATATTTGGGTCGACTGCGCCGGCACTCGCGCGTAGAAGATTCCCGCGCAAGGTCGCGCGCAGTCGCCCTGTTCGCCACGCGGTGTGCCACGCTGGCGGCCCGCGTGCGCCGCGGCGTGAGGCCGCTGCGCCATCTCGCGTAAGACCCGTCCCTGGTCGTCGCCCGGGCGAGGCAAGCGCAGTCGGCCCGCGGGGGCGGGCCCTCGTCGCCACGGCTGGCCGCAGCTCGGAACACTGGTGCGTTTAGATCCCGGGGAGGGTCCATGATGGGCCCATGTTCCACCACCACTACCACAGGTAGGAGAGGGAGGAGGAGGAGGAGGAGGAGGAGGAGGAGGAGGAGGAGGACCTCCTCAGCCTCCCTTCTCCCCCGTCCTGCACGTGGCAGTGGTGGTGGAACACGCTCGCCCACCAGTCCAGAGACCGCCCTCGAGCTGCCGATGGCCTCCGCTCGCCACGGCGGGGTCCTCGTCGCCACGGCTAAGTCGGGCATGTCCCTCTACAGGAGGAATATTCAACAACAAGCAAAAGTAGTCGGGGGGTGATGCTCCGATCGTTTTTTGCCTGTTTCTCTGACTAGAAAGTTTTTCTGGACTACGTTTTATGTTTCGTCCAGAATCCGCCTCTAGGGGGACATGCCCGACCCAACGCCAGTGCTGGGTCCTCCTTGGAATCCTGGCCCATACACGCCCTCCGGGAGAGGTCCGTGCAGCAGCGGCATCTCTCGGGTGGCCCCAGGCGGTGCGGTGACCACACCGCGTGGTGAGTCAGTCGGTCACCACCAACCAAACCACCCGAACCCAACCCGAAGGCCTCGATTTGCCCTCCATTTCCAGTGGGGGGGGGGTCGGGGAGCGCTGGAAAAACACATGGAACCCGTACCCCCCCCAACCCGAAATTCGGCTCAAATTCGGGTCTTCGGGTTGGGTTGGGGTCTTCTGGTAGGTAGTCAGTGGGGATTCGGAGCTCTGGGCGGCCATAAGAGGGGGGTGAGGACTACGGAGGGGTGGATATCATGGCGTGGGCCATATATTTCTCCAGATCTCGTGGCGCCTCTTCTTATTGTAGAGGCCTCCGGCCGGTGCCGCCGATCCGGGACGATTCCGCTGTCAGAAGGACGCTTTCGCCCCAGCGCGCTTGTTAAAACGTAAGTGGTTTGGAACCAGCTTGGAAGCATTGCGTGGGCTTCTTGAGGGGCCTCTACGACGCATCTTCGAGGCCTCCTGGGGGAGCGTCTTGGAGGTGATTGTTGAGCCTCTTGGGGGCCTTTTGGGCTTCTTGGGGCATGCAGGAGGCATCCTGGAGGCCTCCTGGGGGTGTGTAGGAGGTAATTCTTAAGCCTTCGGGAGCGCTTTTGGGCGCCTCTTGGGGGCCTCTTGAGGACCACTTGGAGCTTCTCGGGAGGTCTTGGGGACTCCTAGGGCCATTTTGGTGCTTCCTCGGCGCCTCTTGGGCCGTCTTGGGGCCTTCTGGGGCCGTCGTGGAGCGCTCTTGGGCGCTTCTTGGGCCCGTCCTGGGGCCCGCTTGGGCTGTCTTGGGGGCCTTCCGGGCCGTCTTGGGCCCTTCTTGGGCCGACTTGGGCCGTGTTGGACACTGCGCAGGCCGAAGAAGCGTAAATTGATCAAATGTACGTTTTCCGTAGGGAACGGGACAGATGTTCCGTCTTTGGGCACTCTTAGGAGGTGTTGGGAGGGTAAGGTGGAGGCTTCTGGAGCCGTCTGAGCGTCTTGGAGCGATGCTTCGGCCACTCAGGGCCCTCTGGGGCCGTCTGGGCGGCCGCTGGGTTTTTATGAGCCCGCGTTCGAGCTCTCCGGGGCGAGGGGCCAACCTGGAGTGAGCTGGAGCTCCGATTTTGCAACCAAAATTGACATGGAACCACCCACCCCCCCTACCCCGGCAGAGCCACCACCCCTCAGCAGAGCTGAAGATCAAGAGCTGAGGCTCAGGCTATATCTGAGGGCCTTTGAAACTCACGCCGGATCGGTGGATTTCAATACGTCCCCGCCCCCCCCCCCTGGACTGCGCACATGCCGCCGGCCATGCTTTGCGCCCCCCCCTCTTGGACGCCCCCCTCTTGGCCGCCCCCGAGGACTCGGGGTGCCCTTACGGTTTTGGGGTCTCAAAACGGTGCGGTGACGGACCGTGCGGTGAGGTCTGGGGTGTTCAAGGTCACCGCACGAACTGTCACCGCACCGTGTTGGGACCCCGAAGGTATCGGCATCCTTTTGTTCCTCCCCGAGTCGGCGGCGAGCCCGGGGGGAAAGTGAGAAGGGGCGGGCGAGCCTTCTCGGAAGGCTCGGAAGTTTTCGAAGCCTTCCCAGAAGACACCGACAACCTCTCAGCAGGCCGGAGGCCTTCTGAGAAGCCCCCCCCCGTCCTCTGAGAAGGCTTCTCCTTGTCATTTCCCCCCTTCGCTCGCCGCCGAGCACCGTGTTGGGACCCCCAAGGTATCTCGAAGAAGAAGAAGAAAAAAAAAACATAGACTTTTTGCGCTCCGCGCGGATTTCTTGGATCCGCGTCTGGGCCCCACCAGCTGCGCCTCCGGCGCCGCCCCTGGCGCGCTCCGCGCGCCTGGGAGGGGGGGGTCCAGCGCGGGATCGGCACCCTATTGTCAGGAGGGGAAGAAACACACAGACACAATGAATCGTCGACTCCCCAGAAAATATGGGAAAATATGGGAAGGGGGGGGGAAGACAAAAACCCAGAAAATATTGGAAAATATGGGGAATCCTGTTATTTGTGTGTATTAAATTATTTGTGTGTCCCGGGGCCCCTTCAATCGTTCCTCCCCCGAGGCGCCGCGCTTCCTGTCCTCCGCGCTGCTCGGCCGCCTCTCGGAGATCGCCGCCAGCAACGGCGGGCTGGTGCCGCTGCACGGCCGGCTCTTCGCCCAGTGGACGCGGGGGGGGGTGTTCGAAGGTGGGGCCCCCGAGGGATGCGGCCTTGAGTAGGGGAACAAAAAGTGGCATAAACATAAAAACTCGGAGATCCGCGCGGATTTCTCGGATCGGCGCTGGGGCCCCCCCAGCGGCGCCTCCAGCGCCGCCCCTGGCGCGCTCCGCGCGCCAGGGAGGGGGGTCCAGCGCCGATCCGAGAAATCCGCGCGAACCTCCGAGTTTTTATGTTTATGTCACTTTTTGTTCCCCTTGAGGATCGAAGGAGGCGTCCAGATTTGCCCGTCTCAGGAGATCGCAAACGTGGATCAGGGGGGCGTGGATCAGCGACGGGGCCCGTTTCCATGGGAAAAATATCGGATTTCCGCCGCCGATCGGGGCGGCACCGGCCGCACTTTGGGGAGGGCGCCTCCCCCGATCCATGTTTCAGGAGAGGAAAAAACACACAGACACAATTAATCGTCGATTCCCCAGAAAATAAGGGAACATATGGGCAGTGGGGGGGAAGACAGAAACCCAGAACATATGGGAAAATCTGGGGACTCTTTTTATTTGTGTGTATTTATTTGTGTGTCCCAGGGCCCCTTCAATGTTTGCGCGCCCCCGATCGAAGGTGGGGCCTCAAGGGATGCGGCCTTGAGGATCGAAGGGGGCGTCCAGATTCACCCGTGGGTCGTTGCGAATAGGTATTTCTGGGTTCCCAGGTCCCAATCCAATTTGGCCGCCTCGAGAGTCGAGCGGTGTTCCCTCCCCCTTCCTCTTCAGGAGGCGGGCGGAAACACAATCTGCTTCCCACGCCTTCCTACCGAATATTTCTACTCACTTCTTCTGACCGACGGGCATTCTGAGTTTTTCAGGGCGTCCTCGCCTTGGGGCCGCATGTCTTAGGAAGGCAACTCCTGGGAGGTCAATTCAGCATCGGCGCTGGTATACGTATCCGTGGCCGAAGAGCGGCAAACATTCAGCAGAGTTTCCGTTTCATTCCGCGGAATCCTGTCCAATCCGGCTTACTCCTGGGCTTAAATTTGGGCTGATCCCGAAAGTCGCTTCCTAAGTTTGGGGGGGGGCACTTCCTGGCCCTGGCTTTTCATCCTGGGTCGTTGTTTCAGGGTCCCGGGACCTGGAGACCGAACGTGACAAGAGAACGAGCAGATCGACACCCATCGGTTTTGAATTCACTGCGCGAGGGGTCTGGGCATGTCTCAGGCCCCATCTTTGAAGTTCCGAGGATGCACCACGCGTTCCCGCGCGAGTGCCCCTACCCGCACGAGGCGGGCACCACCAGCCCGCAGACGCCTGACGAGTGGCTGCAGCGGACGCCCGGGTGTGCCTGCGACAGAGGGGGGGCATTTCTGGGGCAACGTTAGGGGGGGAGAGGCTCGAGGCTTTCGGTTTGGGATTCGTGGTCCTTTGGCGTGTTCGTGTAATCTCGGCGGTTTTCCAGTCCCGAACGCCCGCCAGAGAACCGAGTTACGGCCCGAAAGCCATGGGCGAGCGTTAGCGGGGGATAAGCTCAGGGCGGATGGGCCAGAGGATTCCAGGCCTGAGCTTCGCTGGCCTTCTTCGTCGGCTCTCGGTGCCTCCCTGGCCTCGGGATCCCGTGCAGCGGCTGCGCCTCGCCCGAGAGCCCGCGCATGACCCGAGAACCAAGGGTCAACGTTGGGGGGGTAGTACGTTCAGGGGAGATGCATCGACCCCCAATCGCCCATGAATCGCCCACTGATCGCCGATAAGTCAGGAGGGGAAAAAACACAGACACGATTAATCGTCGATTCCCAGGAAAATGTGGGAAACTATGGGAAGTGAGGGGGAAGACAGAAACCCCACACATATGGGAAAATATGGTGAATCATTTTATTTGTGTGTATTTATTTCTGTGTCCCAGGGCCCCTTCAAGAAGGCCCGATAGCCCGTCCCACCCAGGAGCATGCGGACCCGCAATCTCGGGGGCAATCGCCGATGCATCGGCGATGCATCGCCGATTCCATGTCGGTGCTTTCTCCCCTAGCCAGTCCCCACGTTGCCCCTCAGTCAGGGGGGGGGGAGATTCCGATGGCGCTGCCCTCTCGTCGCCCCTGTCGCCGATCGGTTGACGATGTGTCTCCGATTCCATGTGCCGAGGAAGCGCAAAGATGGATCAAGGCGCGTGGATGAGCGTCGGGTCCCGTCCCTGTGGAGAATGACGCGTTCCGTTGCCAAGTCAATCCAGCGGCATCGGTCTCACGTTTCAGGGGGGTATCCGCCCACGCGCCAGATCCAAGGATCTCTCATCCATGTCGGCGTTCTCCCGCTTGAGGGGCCGCGGAAGCCTCCCTCCCTGGGAGCCGCATCCCGACTGCTGATCTTCAGACCCGCCTCCCAGCCACTTTCAGAGGGGGGTAGGATTACGTCGGGCCTGTCCCAAAGTACCCCAAAAATAGTTCAAAAATAGTCTGGGTACTATTTTTGAGTTTTTTGGGACCTCTTCGGGGTATTTTTGGGATATTTTTGATTCTTCGTCGACAATCCCCCTGTAGGGGGACACGCCCGACAGAAGGGTAGGGGGGGGGAAGGCTTTGTAGACGGAGGCTGCTGCCTAGAGGGCTCGGGCCTGATCTGCAGATGTAGGGCCGGCTCCTCCTCAGGAGCAGCCTCCCTCCCCTCAGGATGGGGGAGACCCACAAGCTGTCGCTGGAGGAGAGGCAGCGGACCGTAGACGAGGACACCTGCGCGTTCGAGCCGGAGTTCGGCCCAGCGGCCGGCTGCGGCGGCGGCGGCGAGGAGTTTCGCATTCAAGAGCGGGGAGAGCATTCTGTAGTAGGGCGGCGAGATCTATATACATATATATATATATATATATGTATGTGTAATTATATGTATATATACATGTATATATATATATAAGTATGTATATATACATTTATAGGTATGTATAATGATATGTATCCACTGCCCAGACTTGACCCATCCTTGGCCAGGGAGCCGTGTGCATGCCTCCCTGGCCAAGCCAGGAGGGCGTATATATGTGTATATATATATATGTGTGTATATATGTATATATATGTATATATACATATATGTGTATATATATATATATACATGTATAGACACCGCTCCCAGGCCCGGGATGGGCCTGGGGCCTGGGGCAGTGGATCCATATAATATAGGTCTCGTCGCCCTATACGGGGGGGGGATACCGCGGCCGAGGCCATGTCTCGAGGTAGCGCAAACATGGGTCAAAATGTGTGGTTCCTCATCGTTTTGTATTCATTGTTTTGCCGATCGGCGCGGGCCCTCGCACCCTCCCCCTCCCCCCCCCTTTATGGAGAAGATCTTGGCTGTTTTTGGCGTCTGTTTCGAGCAGGTGGAGCCTCTCCCCCACAGGACGCACTGCTGCAGACAGTGACATTGAGCAGAGGTCCAGAGCCAGACCCCCCCGCCCCCCCCCTTTCCGCCCAATGTCGAACCGCCGAATAAGACAACGCTGACATAAGCGTTGGGTCCCGTTTCCGTGCGGAGTCGGCGCAATCCGTCGCCAGTTCAGGCGCCATCGGCCGCACGTTGCGGGAGGTGGTCCTCCCGATCCGCGGATATCTGTTTCCCACGCGCCAGGTCCGTGGATCCCTCATCCGTGCCAGCGCCTGCGCGGATGCCACCTCCCGGACTTGGATGATGATGATGATGATGATGATGATGATGATGATGATGATGATGCTGCTGCTGCTGCTGCTGCTGCTGCTGCTGATGATGATGATGATGATGATGATGATGATGCTGATGCTGATGCTGATGCTGATGCTGATGCTGATGATGCTGATGCAGCTGCTGCTGCTGCTGCTGCTGCTGATCCTGATGCTGATGCTGATGCTGCTGATGCTGCTGCTGCTGCTGCTGCTGCTATTGATGATGATGATGATGATGATGATGATGATGATGAGGAGGAGGAGGAGGAGGAGGAGAGGAGGAGGAGGAGGAGGAGGAGTAGGATGAGGATGAGGATGAGGATGAGGATGAGGATGAGGATGCGGATGAGGATGAGGATGAGGATCAGGATGAGGATGACGATGACGATGACGATGCGGATGAGGATGAGGATGAGGATGAGGAAGAGGATGAGGATGAGGGATGAAGAATCAGGAGGAGAAGGAGGAGGAGGAGGAGCTGGAGCTGGAGCTGGAGCTGGAGCTGGAGCTGAAGCTGGAGCTGGAGGAGGAGGAGGAGGAGGAGGAGGAGGAGGAGGAGGAGGAAGAAGTGGAGGAGGGGGAGCTGGAGGAGAGGGAGGAGGAGGATGAGGAGGAGGAGGAGGAGGAGGAGGAGGAGGAGGAGGAAGAAGTGGAGGAGGGGGAGCTGGAGGAGAGGGAGGAGGAGGAGGAGGAGGAGGAGGAGGAGGAGGAGGAGGAGGATGTCTGGGCCTCTCCCGCGCACCCCGACGAGGAGCTGCCCTGGAGCGGCACCGAGGAGCTCCTGGACGCGGCCACCGGGCGGGAGCGGCCCCGGCTGCTGCCGTGGCTCCTCGCGCTCTGCGGCCCTCGGGGGCAACGACAGGGGGATGGGCACAGGGGGAGACGCATCGACTTTCAATCGCCCACTGATTGCCGATAGGTGCCCGATAGCCCCAACCTGCCCAGGAAGGCGCGGAGTCACTATCGGAGGCCTATCGCCGATCTATCGGCGCTGTATCGCCGATGCCAGGTCGACGTTTCTCCCCCTTGCCTATCCCACCCCTGTCGTTGCCCCTCAGGCCCGCTCGCCGCCGTGCTGCTGCGCCGCGCCGCCGCCGCTGGCGGCACGGCGGGGCTGGAGAAGAGGCTCAGCGGTTCAAAGCAGGTATTGAGAGAACGCCCCATGCAGACAAGTCGACCGAGGACGTCTGCAATGGTTCACTCGTCAGTGGCTCGGCGGTTCGGAGATCGGCGCGGTCGGAATAGGTGCGGAAGGAACGGGTACGACGACCGACAGCATCTCCTGTTGATTTTGCCCGCTGTCGGCGTCGCCGCGGACGCAGTCCATTTGAGACAGACGGCCGCCTGCCCAACGGCGATCGTTGCCCAACGGGTATCGTACTTATTTCTTCTGTACCCGTTTCGGTCTCGACCGTTCAAGATTTTGGGCGGAAAACACGTCCATATCCGCGGCCTCGCGTGCTGGGCCTCTGTGCATCGACCCCGCGGATACGGGGCGTTTTTTTCGCGGATGCCCCGCGCGGTACGTCTCCTTGCGATAAGATGTTCGGCGGTTCACAGACCCACACATCCTGCTTATCGGAACAAGCAACAATGGCGCAGGAAGATGGGGTCTAAGGCTCCGGTCGTGATTTCTGACGCCTCGCGCCGCATCGCCGATGCACCGCCCTTGAGGACCGCGCCGCCTCGCCGATGCATTGGCGAAGCGGCGCGATGCGGGGCCCAACTTCCTCCACGCGGACGTCGCTGGTGCATCGCCGACGTCGCCGATGCATCGGCCATTCGGTGCAATACCTCCGGCCCCATCTATTCGGACCCCATACAGGCCACCAGCATCGGAATAAGACAGCACGGGATTTGGGTTCGTCGTTCCTTCGGCCTCCGAGGGCACTCGCCGAGGCCTGGGACCTGTCAAAGAACGACCCGGAATATGCAAAGCTTCGATGCTCGTTCTGGGGACCTTCCTGGGGGCCAGCTAATGGATCTGTTCGACGCAGGTTCGACTCAAGTTCGACTCAAGTTCGACTCAGGTTCGACTCAGATTCGACTCAGGTTCGACTCATGTTCGACTCAGGTTCGACGCAGCTTCGACGCACGAGTGGAGCGAGTGGCTGCAGGAGGGTCCCCAGAATGAGCATCTAACAAAGCTGGCCCTGAGGAAGGGGTCAGAAGTTCGTGACTTGTGGGCAGTTCAAGGACTCAGAGGAGGGAAGGGTAGCGATACCGCTGCTCTGCCCTCGCTTTCGCCTCTCTGGGCCTCCTGGGAGGCCCTCCTGGGAGGCCGTCGTCGCCACGGCTGGACTCGCCTCGGAGCTCTGGTCAGAAGGCACCCCGGGAGAGGTCTGGGGAGTACAGTGGAAACCCATGCCAAGAAACACCCTGCTTGCCTCCAGGGTGCCCAGGGTTTCGGGTTTCGATGGTTTTGCCATGGAAAGCGTGACGTTTCCACACCACAAATCAATGGGCGTCTTGGTTTTTCAAGGTTCTATTTCTTGTGGAAGGATTCTTGTGGTCGACCTCCTACTGTACTTGGCATCGCTCGGACGCGTGCATTTCTCCTCGGCGAGGACCATCGAGGAGCATCCTGCATCAACGAGCGGCAAAAAGCACGCACGGCATCGAAGCATGCATGGGGAATGGACGTCCGAGCGATGACGAGCTCAGGGCCGCCCCATCCCGGAGGGCCCCCATCTCTGTGAGCCGCCGAGAGGCCCGCTGCGTCGAGCTCGTTCTACTCGGACCTCTGCGCGTCGATCGACAAGTTCGCCTGAGGCCCGGCGGGCCGGCATCCAGAGGAAGACGCGCGGCACGAGCAGGAAGTGCCGGGGCCCCGCGCGGACTTCTCGGCTCGGCGGGCCAGACCCCCCCCATCCCTGGCGCACCGAGCGCGAGGGCTCCGCCAGATCCAGCCGGAGAAGCCCGCGCGAAGCCCGCCGGAAGATGATCCTTGTGCCGTCGTGTCTTCTTCGATGCATCCACGTGAGGCCCCCGGGGGCCATCGCCTTCCATATAGCCGTGTATCGCCCAGGTCTCCGATGCCCTGGCCTCTCTCTCTCTCTCTCGGCCTCTGCACTCGCGTGTCCCCCCCCTGCGGAGCTCTCGGCCCCACCCAGACTCGCGCGGAGCTCGTGCCGTCGGCTGCATCTTGCGGGCCCCAGGTCAAGACGGGCCTAAAGAATGGCTGCGGATACAGTCAAACTGCGTCTGAAGGAAAAGCAGCCTTCCACGGGTACCCTCGCATCCTTGCCTCTGGGTTCCATCCTAGGTCCTAGCCCTATGCCATGTGCCATGGGTTTCCAACTTTGACTTTAATGTGTGCGTCCAAGGGTCTTTAACTTTACTCGCTCTCTTATGACCCAGTCGCGCTGTAGGTTCCGACGCCTTCACAGTTCCCCAGTGTGGCCGCTGGCGTATTTGTTACGCCCTCGGGCTGCCTGGAAGTCGGGGGCGGTATCCGCAGGCCAGGAGTGGAAAGCAGGCGCGCCTCCGCCCTCACCTGAGCGATGGAAGAAAACGGGGTCGTCTTGCGCGGGAGTTCGCGCGTATGCTGCCCGCGCAAGGTCGGCCTTTGCGCGCCCTCTTCTCCGCGTTGGGTGCCACGCTGTTGCCGTCTGTTGTCTCGCTCAGGTGAGTCTGTTGCCGTCGCTCAGGTGGGGGTGGGGGTTGATCCGCTGCTCCCCAGAGGCCTGGGCTCCTCCTCCTCCTCCTCCTCCTCCTCCTCCTCCTCCTCCTCCTCCTCCTCCTCCGCTCTCCTCCTCCTCTTCCCTCCCTCCCCCCCACCTGAGCGATCCGCTGATCGCTCAGGTGGGGGGTGGACTCGGGCCTCCAGAGGCCCGGGCTCGGCCGCTGCTCGACTCTGCGTCGTCGGGGCGCCGGAGGCCTGGGCTCGACGGACTGCGCGCAAGAGGGATCCTGCGCCAGAGCGTCCTCTTGGGTGCGGGCCCGCTCTGGTCCCCCGATGGCCGAGTGCGATGCGGTGGGTGCGTCTTGCGCGCGCGGGTGTCGCCCCCTCCCGCCCCACCCTCCCCTCTCCCCTCTCCCCTCCCCCTCCCCTCTCCCCCCCCCCTCCTCTCCCCCCCCCCCTCCCCTCTCCTCCCACCCCCCCCCCCTGCGGCTCCCCAAAAGCCGCGCACCAGAGGCCACTCTTACCCAGGGTCGCTCTTGCGTGTAGCATGAAGTCGGGCATGTCCCTCTACAGGAGGAATGCTGAAACATACGTCAAAACACAGTTCGGGGACGAGTGGGGACCATCTTCGACACGGTGAGAATACTGTTTGACCACGCTTTTGTAGCTTTCTCCCAACATCCGCCCGCAGGAGGACATGCCAGGCCGAAGTGTGTAGCCGCTGGCGGCGGCCACCGCCATCCACATCTCATGCAGCTTCCTGCCCCCGCCGCTCTCCCCGGGGGCAGCAGGCTCGGCTCCGAGAGCCCCCCTCGGGCGCGGGGCGCGCGCGCGCGGGCCGTGCGCGCGCGCGGGGCGCCACGGTCTCCTGGCCACACGCGCCGGGCGTCCCTGCTGGTGCCGAGCGCAGCGCGAGAGCGCGGCGCCGAGGCGAAAACGACATCACGGCCCTCGCGCGGGCTGTGCGCCCCGCCCCGGTCCCACCGCGCGTTCTGCAGCATGGCCGGCAGAAGGTCCACGTGGGGGCGGGCACCGCAGATTTTCTGTATGGTGCACGCGCCCGGAGGGGGGCCCCATGGTCAAGTCGGGCCTGTCCCTCTACAGGGAGAATATTCAGACACAGTGAGAAAATAGTATGGGGAGGAGTCGTTGACTATTTTTCAATTGTTTTGAGTATGTGTTGTTTTTTATCGTTCGCCCAGAAGCCGCCTGGAGGGAGACATGCCCGACCTAACCCTATTGGTCGGGGAGAGGGCCTAGTATGAGTATGTATTAGTCGGAGTGGGATGGAGCAGGGCAGGGTAGGGTACGGTGCGGTACGGTAATTAGGGCCAGGTAGAGCACGGGAAGGTAGAACAGAGCAGAGCGGAATAGAGTAGTGTCGGGTAGATGGTGGAGTAGAGTCGGGCAGATATGAGTAGGATAGGGTAGAGCGGAGCAGAATAAAGTCCGCCCAGTCTAGTCTTTTCGAGTCCAGTCTACTCCAGTCTACTCCAGTCCTCTTCGTTTCAGCTTTCGGGTCCATTTGGAGTCCTGCGCTGGCTGATGAAGTGGCCCGTTACAAGACATAATCTTAGAGTGCCCAATCGCGTTAAAACGCAATAATTATTGGGATCCCAACGCCGCAGATTAACGTGACAGCTGCGTCCTAACAGTCCCAAGGTGCACCCGAACACCATTCCTCGTGCTTCGACGCCGCAACTCAGCCTGACAGCTAAGATTTGACGATCCTTAGTCACCCCAGGAAAGCAATTCTTGGAATTACAACTGTGCGAATCCTTGAACCTTTACAGACGCTCCAGGCGCTCCAGACGCATACGCGCGGCGCTGAAGCGAGAACCACATCTTGAAAAGGAACTTCGCTCCATCTTTTAGGCGGTTGTTAAGTTTCAGACGGATGTGCCCGGCGGTAAGGCGACAACCACATTTCGTAGACGGACCGCCCTCCATCCGCGACGTTGCTGTCATTTGTAAGACGAGTGCGCGCGGCGCTAAGACCAGAAATACACTTAAAACACCACCTGGCCTCCGTCCGTGAATACGCTGCACATTTTGATGGGCGAATGCGCGCGGCGTTAGGGCAAGAACGACGTGTTGAGAACGACCCGTATTCCATCTGTGAAAGTGCTGCACATCGGAAACACCAGTGCGCGCGGCGCTAAGGCGATAGCCACATTTTGAAAAACGACGCGCCCTTCTTTGAAGCTGCTGCAAAGTTTTACACGGAATATGTGTGGCGTTCAGTCCAGAGCCACATTTTGAAAACGACCAGCCTCCCATCCGTGATAATGCTGTAAATTTCAAGCTCGAGGATCATACAGGGTGAGGGCGCATCAAGCGAAACGCCCGGCCCGCCCTACCGACGCGTCTGGGGGTGTGACAAAGATGAGTTATCGGATATCGAAATGGCATGGGGGATGAGGAGGAGGGGGAGGGGGAGGAGGAGGAGGAGGAGGAGGAGAGGAGGAGGAGGGAGAGGAGGAGAGAGAGGAAAAGGAGAAGGGAAGAGGGATGAGGGGAGGGAGGAAGGAGGAGGAGGATGGGACGACGATATGGAGGAGGAGGAGGAGGAGGAGGAGGAGGAGGAGAGCAGGGAGGGGAGGGAGGAGGGAGGGGAGGAGGAGGGATGAGGAGGAGGAGGAGGCATGATGAGGGAGGATGGAGGATGGAGGAGGGCGGAGGGAGGAGGGAGGAGGGAGGGGAGGAGGAGGGAGGAGGAGGAGGAGGAGGACGAGGGAGGAGGGAGGAGGGAGAAGAACGGAGGAGGGAGACGGAGAGAGGAGGAGGGAGGAGGGAGGAGGAGGGAGCAGTGAGGAGGGATGCCGCCCGCGCACGGCCGCCGCGGCGACTGTGCCCGCCGCAGGGAGCCCCCGCCGGGCGCGCGCCAGCAGGTGCGGGCGGCCGGCACGTCCCCGGGGAGGTGTCCCGGCGCGCGGGGCTGGGCGGTGCCAAGGCGGCGACAGGGTTGAGACCCGGGGGCAGCCGAGAGGGGTGGTGACTTCGGGCGATCGCAAGCACGGATCGAGGGGGCGTGGATTGACGCGACGGATCCCGCTTCCAGGGGAAATCGCGGATTTCTGCCGCCGAGCGAGGCGGCGCCGGCCGCATTTTCGGGAGGGCACCTCCCCGATCCACGGATTTGGCGACTGCGTGCCAAATTCATGGATCGCTAATCCATGTCTGCGCGCCCCCGAGACTAGGGGTCGCCGAGTGCGTTCTGCTCGCTGTGTGCCTACTTGCAAGCGTCCGAAAAACACATGCCTGCCTCGGTGTAGTGGATCGTAGATCCCCCGCGGCGGATCCAGGCTATTTGCGAGTAGCTACTTTGCGAGTAGCGGAACGCGCTTGTCTAAGGGTGGATCTCATGGCGGGGGCCATGACATCTTCCCAGATCTCATGGTGCCCCCTCTTATTTCACTACGTCCCCGGCCCCTCTGGGCCGCGCACGTGCCGCCAGCCATGATTTGCGCCCCGCCCCCCCTCGGACGCCTTCCTCTTGGACGCCCCCGAAGCCAGGACGAGGATAGAATCGAGTGAGGATGAGTCGAGAATCCCGGAGATCCCCGCGGCTCTGGAGGATGCGGCCTTCCCAGAGCGTTCCAGAAGACTCTGAGAGCGTCCCAGAACGCTCTGCAAGAGATTTATCCTCGTCCTAGCCCTGTCTTAAGCGGGCTAGCAGGCCAGGGGGTAACCCATAGGGGCGAACATCGCCGATGCGTCGGCGATGCGGCTCGACGCGAAGCCCGATTTCATCCACGCCGGCGTCAAAATGCGTCGCCGACGTCGCCGATGCATCGCCGATGCATCGCCGATGCATCGCTGATTCATCGGCGATGCGGCGCGATCCTTGAGTCCCATCCACTCAGAACCCATCACGGAGGCCTCTAATGAAAAGAAGGGGTCTTAAGGGAAACGGGCCCTGCGGTTTCCCACCGTTTTCGGGCTCCCCGGCCCTCCCGGCCCCAGGGCCATCAAAAAGCGATTCAGGATGAAGAGGTGGCCCCCGGAAAGGCACAGGTGTCCAGGACCAGTTTCCTTCAGGTCAGGTTTCTCTGGAGGTCGGAAAGGAGTGTGGCATAAAGGGGTATGGTGCCAATCGTGGCAATGGCGATGTTATCTACGATAGATCGCCTCGCCAGATCCAGCATTGGCACCGCACCCTTTCGCACCACACCCCTTTCCTACCCTCAGAGTTTCCACCATGCCAGATAGCCCAGGGGCGCCGATGGTCCATGTATTCGGCGAGGCCCCCGGGCGTATGCCTGTGATGCCCGCCCCTGGATGTTCGCCCCGGTCGTCGCAGTTAAAGCGCCCCCCCCCCTCGTGGCGTAGGGGACGGGGGTCAATGCAAGCGGGGGTCAGTCAGAGCGCCAGATCTTGCAGGATCCTCCTCCTCCTCATCCTCCTCCTCCTCTTCCTCCAGGAAGGCCACGGCAGAGGAGAAAGACGGGGGGGGGTCGAAGATAAGACGAGGCCAGGACGAGGGTCACATCCGAGCAAGCATAGATCGAGAAGGATCTCCTCCTCCTCCTCCTCCTTCTCCTCCTCCTCCTCCTCCTCCTCCTCCTCCTCCTCCTCCTCCTAGAGCCAGGGTCGCACTGGCCCGGGCTTGGGCGCAGGATCCTGCAGGATCTTCAGGGGTCCTGCAACTCCTGACTGGACCCGGGTCTGGACTTGGTCGACCCGGGTCAGCACGTAGAGATCCGACCCCCTTGCCCAGAGGAGGAGGAGGAGGAGGAGGAGGAGGAGGAGGAGGAGGAGGAGGAGGAGGAGGAGGTAGAGGAGGAGGAGGAGGAGGACAAAGAGGAGGAGGAGGAGGAGGAGGAGGAGGAGGAGGAGGATGTCGCCCCTGGGCTCTTCGAAGCAGCCGAAGAAGGCAGCCCCGAGCGAGCATAGGGCGCTCGGAGGTCCGCGCGCCCCCCGCGTCGGGGCCTCCCCGGGTCGGCGGCGCGCACGGGGTTTGGGAGGGCAGGGTGCTGCCCCAGGGAGGGGGCTGCACGGCACCGCGAGGGGGTAAGTCTCGCAGGCCCAGAGGTCGACACGACCACCAATTTCGGCGGTGTGCCTCCGCCGAGGGAAGAAGATCCCGATCTCGGTGATGGTGGTACTATTCTGGCTTCCAACACCGAAATCTGGGATCACCTTCCCCCTGTGGAGGCACCCCCCTGTGTTGGTGTTGGTGCCCATTTCCAGGCCTCCAAAAGTCGGGCCTGTCCCTCGACAGGGGGGATCTTCAAAAATAGTAAGAATATAGTCTGGTGACGATGTGTTTGAGTATTGTTTGACTCTGGTGGGGTATTCTTTGGCTACGTTTTACTACTCGTAGAGCATCCGCCTGTAGGGGGACATGCCCGACCTGAGGCGAGGGTGCAAAACCTTAGGTTGAGAACAAAAACAGCTCAGAGTTCCGTTCGACCTCGGGGCTTCTGAGCAGGCTTCTCCGTGGTGGCGGGGGGGGGAAAGGGCGGGCGCGTCGTAGAGGCCCCCCCGTCGTGCCTCCTTGATTTGAGTCGGGCTTGTCCCTCTACAGGAGGAATAGTCAAAGATAGTCAAAAATAGTCTGGGAACGATTTTTGTTGAGCATTTGTTCATCATATTTTGATTGTTTGTGGCTAGTTTGGATTTTGAACTCCTCCGTTTAAAATCCGCCTGTAGGAGGACACGCCCGACCTATTCTTCGATGGAGGACGACGCTTGAGAAGTGCCGGGGGGAGGGGGCGTTGTCGCGCTGCAGCGCCGTGGGCGACGATTTATACACGGTCGGTTTCTGCTCCTAGCCTGCTCGTGTGGGCATCGCCGTCGCCGTGGATATTCTTCGTTCGTCCTCTCCAAAGCCGTTCCAGGCGGCAACAAAAACTGCGTGTTGCTGGTTGTCCACCCGTGCCCTTGTCCAAACTTATGATGTCCCAACTTATTTTTTAACCTTGATCACCA